ATAATTTGGTCACTCAACCACGACTGTTTGTGGGACACTGCTGTGCGCAATTGGCTACTGTCTGTCCCACAAAATATGCAGTCACTACTTTTTACAGTGTATTCTGTGCAGCCCTTTGAGACGTCTCAAAGACGTGACGAGGCGCTATAACGAATGCTAGGATTATTATATTATCATTATAAAGCTACAACAGTGAGTAAAACAGGCGAACGCTGGGCTGGTGTGCTCACAACGATGCTTTCCTGAGAAAATATGGGGCAAACCACAAATAAAGTAGTAATTAAATGTCTCAACGTTGGGCCTCGAGGGCTCTGGGACACTACCCTGGATGATGGGCGCTATGTAAACGCAAGTTGTTGTTGGGCTCACTTAATTGGAGGGAATTTTCCCAAAACAGAATTCCAGTGCACGTTTATTCCGAACACAGAAAAATAAAGACTCTGAAGTGCAACGACCTCCCAGAAAAAGGACCTCTTCTAACAAATATTTTGCTGTCCTGAAGCAGAAACCGCTGGTTTTAAAATGCAACGTGTGCTTAAGATAACAGAGCCACATCTGTACGGCTTTTATCCCCAAAGCAACAAAAAGGAACAAAATTAATTCTGCATCATACATTATGCGTACAGCGAAGCTGCCAAATAATAATAATATTGAAGTTAATAATCCTTGCATTTGATATAGCGACTTATCACGTCTTCGAGACGTCTCAAAATATACTGTAAGGTGAATGGACTGTATATTGTGTGGGCGAAACAGCACCTATGCTGTTAGGGCCCACTTATTTACATTTACCGCTGCAAAAATAAAAAGCACCCAATTGAGAGCATCTCTGTACAGATTAAAACAGACATATGGGGTGGGGGAATATTGAAGAAAAATACTAAACTCCCATGAGAAAGTGAAGATACAAAAAAGATCCAGCGCTTATAAGAGCAAAAAGATGCAACAGCCGATATTAATATTCCTTGCATTTGATACAGCGCCTTATCACGTCTCCGAGACGTCACAAAGCGCTTCGCAGAACAGACTATAAAGTGAATTGACTAGATTTTGCGAGCAAAATGCGGCAGCAGCCAATAGGGCACAGCAGCGTTCCACAAACAGCCGCGGATGAGAGTGACCACATTATTCTAAGATGATGTTGAACTGCAGCAGCTTTGACGTACTGGTAATAAACACTTCACATACGGGAGCACAATTTGTCCTCACACCGAGCCACAAAGCACCTGCTGCATTTCGCCTCTTCCATTTAAAACACAGCGAGTTCTGTGAAGGCATGTTAAGCACTGTACCGGTACGGGGCAAAAAAAAAGAGAGAAAGCTGCGTGTAGGTGGGACCCACACTGAAGTGTTGTCATACAATTTCAAGAGACATAATAATAGTAACCCTTGCATTCGATACAGCGCCTTATATCACATCGTAGAGAAGTCTCAAAGCGCTTCACAGGATGCACCGTAAAGTGGATTGACTGTGTATTTTGTGGGTGAAACGCGGCAGCCACAACATAAACGATTAGCCCCCCCCACTCCCCGCCACCCGCTGTGTGGTGCCTGTATCATCTCATTCTGGCCCGACCTGCCTTAGAACATTTGTGGCCTGTGAGCCCCCATGCTGGCGTAGAGCATAGCCCGTGCCGAAAATCTGCATTAAAGTACATCACAGAAAGAGGCTTAAATGACAGTGATTAGCACCATCAAGAATTGTGCCTCATATTAGCTTTCCCCTCAAACCCCCCCACCCCGCACTACCTCCACCACAAACAAAACGAGTTCTGCACCAGCGCTGAAACTAAACACTCGCATTATCCGATACTTGTCGAATGTACGGCACTACAATCTAATACATTATTCAACAGATACAGCGCAGATAGAGAGAGAGAGAAAGAGAGAGAGAGAAAGAGAGGGAGAAGCCTGCGATGTAAGTACATTTGGGAAATTTTAGACAAAGATTTTAGACGGAGGTTCCAGGGCTGTGCAATACAGTGGGACGAACATACGGAATCAAGCCCGCAATCTGGTTCAAAACAAAACTAAGCCATGTCTCAGTACAGATTGGAACGGACAAATGATTTAGCCTAAAGCTTCCGAGATCATAGGCCCCGGTTCACAAACTGCTCACAGACCTCCACAACCACCCATACCGACACTTCCAAACATCTACAATTTTTTATTTTTTTTAAATTAAAAAGGTTTTTGCCTCAACCTCTTTTTTTAAAAAAAAATAAATAAAAGATGATTATCAGGACCATCGCGGCTCAATCTCGAAAGTATTCCCAAACGTTTTCACTATCTCACATCTTTCTATGTTACAATTCCACCCTCAATGTTATTTTAACTGACCATCTATTTTTTTTTTAAAAATCCTAGAAAAGGTACAAAGGTAGCCGGAATGTGGCGACAGATCAAATCAAAAATAAACTAGGTGAAGCAATAATTTTCTTTTCAAAAGAACTATGACAAATTATGGTTCCACAATCCACAATGCTGCCTTATTATTGCCACTGTTACAAATCACTCGTTTAATGCATATTTTTCCATCGGTTTCTGTTCAGCAACCGCTTCAGAAGCTTAAAACAATTTAATTACGAGCAATTTTTGGGGGAAAAAACGCCGCAGTTAGTGACTGTGCGGATTTCATTCTGCTAATGCAACATCACACGGGTTCTTTTATTGCGATGTAGAGTGGCGGGGAGAGAGAGAATAGTTTTTTTTTTAAAAATCACTTGTCTGGTGAAAATCCTGCAGTAATTTTGACTATCGCACACCAAAAATCCACCGACACAGCGATTATAAGAGTAGTAATAGAAGCGATTCAGGATTATATCTCGTGGAGCAGAAACTCAATCATTTTGAAAGCTTCCTTTTCGGTCTCTATAATTAGTGTGTGAACATGGTATGATAGCCGGCCTTGCCACTGGGACACACACACAAAAAACTTTCCACTTAAATATAACCCTCCTCTTCTCCGCTCTCCTGCCCTCTTCACTCCAATGCAGTTCACAGGCTGAATGCATAAAACCTCAGCATTAAATCAAGCATTTCCCCCCCCCACCCCATCCCCGCCCAAACGCTTGCTCGCTCGTTCGCTGGCTGCAAGGAATCCTTTCGATTCCACTTTCTGGCTGGCACGGATCAAAGCGCACTGATCTCTGCCATACAGTGAACAGTGGAGTTGTGTGTTCTCTCTCCCTCAAATCATCATCATCATCATCATCACCAAAATATCCCCCCCCCCTCCCCCAGTTTATTTCACACGGCTCCTTACTATTTGCACGTCCGATGGGACTGACAGTGGATGGATGTAATTGGGAAGCAATATAAAGCCATCAAGGTTAGCAAATTACCCCCAATCGCAACAGCAGTTCTCCTGCTGAGACCCCATTGTATTGGATGATGACCTATAAATTTCTACATTTCCAAACACACAGCTTAGAAGGTTTTAAAATGCAAAACACCCCCCCCCCACACACTCCTCCTCCCCCCCCACACACACACACATACATACATACACATATATATATACACACACACATACACAGATTGCAATAGAAACAAAAGAGCTAACACTGTTGCTGTTACAACTTTTTTGGTGGGGGCAACATTGTGAAATAATATGCTACCATCCCAAAGGGGAGGTTTTGTCGCTTCTCATAGTTTACTGCAAATAAATTAAAGGTTTATTCTCTTCCTACTACACCACAACACACACACACACACACCCTTTTTAAAACACAACTCCAGGTATTTTCGTTGCATTAGATCAGGTTGCAAACAGAGCTCTCTCTCTCTCAGTCTGTCTCTGTGTGTGTGTGTGTGTGTGTGTGTCCCTCTCAGTCTGTCTGTCTCTCTCTGTGTGTGTGTCTCTCTCAGTCTGTCTGTCTCTGTGTGTGTGTGTGTGTCCCTCTCAGTCTGTCTCTCTCTCTCTCTGTGTGTGTGTCCCTCTCAGTCTGTCTGTCTCACTGTCTGATTTGCAACCAACAAACTGCAATCATCGACTTCACACTGTTAACTGGGACTTAAATAAACAGGTTCCAATTCTCGATTGACAACGTGGAGAGTGGGGGAATGGGGGGGAATGGGGGAGGAGGAGGAGGTGGTGGTGGGGTTGACAAAAGAGTGACATTAAGTTGTTGAACCAGATTTTTCCCTAATTAAACCAGCAAACCTAAAACTGAAACTAAACACAGAGAGAGAGAGAGAGAGAGAGAAAAGTTTGTGCAGTTCCAGCTCACACTGCCTTCTGTCCAGAAACCCACACAGGAATCTGCCAAAGCAAATACATCGCCTTTGCAAAAATGAAACACACCAAAAGTTTTCTTCTTGGTTTTCTTTCTCTCTTTTTTTGGGGGGGTGGGGGGGGGAAAAAAGTTTTTGCAAATTAAAAAAAAAATGGGATTGTACCAGTTTGCAAATTCCTGTGGTGGGTTGGGGGGGGTAAAGTGGGGGTAAAAGTGGGGGATGGAAACACTACAAGGGCAGTATTCTTGGAAACATGGAGAAAAGGAAAACAAATGCAAAACACACACACACACACTGTGTACTGTTGTGTGTTATGCAGAGGAAGGAGGGTGTTTTTTTTTCTGTGCATTTTTATAAATGCTTGTGTTTGTGTCTGGAAGGGGTGGGGGGGGGGAGGGAGGTTAGGGGTAGGGGGGTAATTGGGGGGGAGACTGAGTGATGCCATTGCACTCTCTGAACCTTTGCCATCCCCTTTCCCCCCCACACACACACCATCAAAGCTTCCAAGTACTTTCTTTCCCTTTTCATGTTATTTGTTTGTTTGGTGTCATTTGTTTATAAATATATAATTTCTAATAAGAGAGAAGATACATATATATATATGTGTGTGTGTGGGTGAGAGAGAGAGAGAGATGGGGATACATAGTGAGCACATAGTTTATTTACAATAAAGGAGATACAAAGTAGATTGCAAACGTGTAAACCTTAAGAGAGAAGAGGAATGGAAACAAATCAAACAAAATAACAGTGGCAAAACCTACCGTTCTCGCACTGGGTGATAAAGATCCATTGGGGAGGTAAGGACTGGCCAGGTCAGGAATCATAATAAATGGATAACCAGGGTATGGTGGGCCCTTGAACAACCCTCCATCTTGCCTCTTTGTAGCTGGGTCAAGAAACATGGCGGGGAGGGAGGGAGGGAGGGAGGGAGGGGGAGAGAGGGATGGATGGAGAGATAGAAAGAGGGGAGAGAAACAGAGGAACAAAAGTTAGGGGGTGCAAACTTTTTCTTTGCAAAGCACAGCCAACAACACACCACTCACTCACTCACTCACTGACTCACTGACTCAGGCTGTGCAGCACTGCAACTTCAGACCCAAATAAAAACTTTCTCTCTCTCTCCCACTCCCTCCTTCACTCTCTCTCTCTCTCTTTCTTTCTCCTTCCCAATTCTATTCCCTCTCTCCCTTCCTTCCTTCTCTCTCTCTCTCCTCTCCTTCCTTTTCTCTCTCTCTCTCCTTTCCCTCTCTCTCTCACTCACTCCTTCCCAATTCCACCACTTCTCCTGTTCTCTCTCTCTCTCTCTCTCTCCTTCTTCCCTTCTCCCATTCCCCCACCACCTCTCCCTCCCTCTCTCTCTCTCTCTCTCTCTCTGCCTCCTTCCCTCCCTCCAGAGAGCAGTGAAAAGACTTACCTTCTTCTAAACTCTCTCTGGATTTGTCTCGAAAACTTTCTGAATGTCTCGGTGGTGGTCGCCTTTCTGCCTGAAAAGCAGTAACATGGTGGTTTGGAGAAGGAGGTGGAGGAAAAGGAGAGAGGGAGAAAGAGAGAGAGAAAGAGAGAGAAAAGGAGAGGAGAGAGGAGGGGAAGGAGAAGGAAAAGGGGAAAGGAAAGGGGGAAAGGAGAGAGGGAAAGTAACAAGAGTTTTGGGGGAAAAAAATATTAAACAGTGATCATCAGGTTGCAACAAGAAAATACACACATAACGTGACACACAGTGAAAACGACACACACACTCCCAGTTATTTGTGTGTGAAAATATTTGACACACACTCCAAGACACTTTTATTTCAAGGGGGTAGTGGTGGTGGGGGTTTTTTTTTGGGGGGGGGGAGTCGTTTTATATATATATATATATACATACATATATATATCTTTTTTTAATTTAAAAAAAAGTTGCAAAGAAAAAATGAAACAGGGAAAGGAAAATGGGAATAAGTTTCTAGTTAAGGGACACAGCACCACCACCACCCAAAAAAAGAGGGGGAGAGAGAGAAAAAAAAGATATTATTCTCTTACCCTCTCTTTTTAAAGGGGAGTCCAGAGAAGGAAGGGAATAAGTTTACAAATTTGAAAGCTCTCCCCCCCCCCCACCCCCACCTCCCTCACTCCCCAAACACACACAATAAAGGCGCAAAAAATAGAGAGAGAGAATTAAACTGTGGGAGGGAATAAGTGAACAAGTTTGCATTGAAGGGCCAAAAAAAAAAATAAGAGACAAGGGAATAAGTTGACATTTAAAGCCCTCTCCCCTCCCCCCCCCCCTCCAAAAAAAAAAGGGGGTGAATAGTAGGGGAGGGGAAGGGGGGGATAGAAAGAGAGAGAAATAGTCTGTAGTTCTCTTACCTCTGAGTCTGACGAGCTGTTTTGGTTGGTCTCTGACTCGTTTACTAATGAAGACTTGACGTCTGCTAAATCCCTTTCTGCAGAAGCATTTTCTGAGATCTTTTCTTCCTGTTCCCCTTCATCTTTAAAGGAGATCATTTCATCATTGGCCCCCAGATCATCACCACCACCACTGTTTAACTGTGGCATCTTTGCTTTATGTACAGTATGTGTGTGTGTATATATATATATATATATATATAAATCCTTCCCTGTTGCTGCTCCTGCTGTTGTGTGTGTGTTTCACTCCCTTCTCTCTCTCTCTCTCTCCCAACACACACACACACAGAGGGAGAGAAAAAAAAGTGCTCCTGACTTGATGCAACTCACTCCAGAGAGAGAGAGAAAGAAAAGAGGGAGGGGGGGGGGGGGGAGGGAGGGAAGGAGGGAGGGGGGGAAAGGGAGAGGGAGAAAAGGTTGGTTCAGTTCAGTTGCAAGTATTTTTTCTCCCCTTTGCCTTCTCTTCTTCTTCCCTCTCCTCCTCCTCCTGTCGTCCTGGTTTGGGGTTTTTTTTCTTTTCTTTTTTTCCCCCCACTCTGTTCAGTTGCAAGTATATCTTTTTTTCTCTCTCTCTCTCTCTTCCCCTCTTCTTCCTTTGCTTCTTTTCTTCCTCTTCTGTTTTCTTCTTCTGTTTCTTCTTCTTCTTCTTCTTCTTCTTCTTCTTCTTCTTCTTCTTCTTCTTCAGGGTTGCACCACCTCCTCTCCTTTTTTGTGTGTGTCCCCCCTTTCTTCCCCCTTTTTTTCCCCCCCCACTCTGTTCAGTTGCAAGTATTTCTTTTCCTTCCCTCCTTTCCTTCTCTTGTTTCTTCTTGTTGCACCTCCTCCTTTTTTTCTTCTCCCCCCCTCCCTCTCCTCCCTTTTCACTCTCACTCCTTCTCTTCTCTTCTTCTCCAGCTCAGCCAGTTGTTGTTTTCCACTCTCTCTCTCTTTCTCTCTCTTCTTTTTTTCCTTCTTCTCTCTGTCTGTCTGTCTGTCTCTCCTCTTTCTTTTGGTTGGTGAGGTGGTGGTGGTGGTGAGTGGGGAAAAAAAAGTTAAATCAAATTGCAAAAGAAAAAAAAACAAAAGTCTGGGAGGGGGGAGGTTTGGTGACTGTGAAGTCAGAAGACTGGAAAGGGGAAAAAAAAACAACGCCCAGAAGGAAGCTTTTTTTTTCCCCCCCTTTCCCCCCACCCCCCCTTGTTTGCTCCCCAATATTTTTTCTCCCCTCTTCTGCCTTTGCAGCGAAGTTGTTACAGACTCCTCGACTGCTGCTCCCACTTCAAAGCCTCACCGCCTCTGTGTGTGATTGACATCCTGACTGACACACTCACAGCTCTACACAGACTCTCTCTCCCTCCCTCCCTCCCCCTCTCTCTCTCTCTGTCACTCCCTCCCCCCACCCACACCCCACCTCCTCCCCCCCCCCCCCCCTTTCTTTCTTTTTGGCTATATGTGGTTTTTTTTGGAGAGGGGAGCAGAAAGTAAATGAGATGCAACAAGCAACAAAAAAGAGGGAGGGAGGAAGAGAGAGAGAGGGAGGGAGGGAGGGAGAGAGAGGGAGGGAGGGAGGGAGAGAGAGGGAGGGAGGAATGCATGCAGTGGTAAAGGAAGGAGGGACTTTATATGACGTCTGCATAAATGCATTAAATAGCTAAAAGCTCAGGCAAAAGAGAGAGAGAGAGAGAGAGACACACACAGACTGACTTATTAGTAGAGAGCAAGCTGCTGGGTGGATGGATGGATGGATGGAGCTGAGTGAGTGAGTGACTGACTGACTGACTTGTGTGTGTGTGTAGTAACCAAAGCCCTTGAACTTCATTTCCTCTCTGTACTGTTTTTTTTTTGCAACGTGTGTGTTGTATTTTTTTTTGATCTCTCCTTAACTTTACTTTGAACGGCTTGTTCTAGGGGTTTGTTGTTGTTGTTGTTGTTGCTTTAATTCAACCCCATCAATGACACCCCTCCCCCCCCCCTCCCTTCCCTCCCTCCTCATTTCCAGGGATTTTTTAAAAAAAATTGCACACACGCAATATATATATTTATATATAAATAAAATACACACGTATATATATGTGTATATATATATATGTATATGCATACATGCACACAGCCCACTTTCCTTTCCAAATCGATTATGGATTGCATTTGAGTGAATAAAGCTGCTCGACAGTCGTTTTTAAATTAAAAAAAAGAAGAAAAAAAACCCGACAACGTCTTGTTTGAAAAAAAATGTTCGAAACCTCAAAAGGTTTTTTTTCCAGTGAACACGTTTATCGCCACCCACATATCTGCAAAGGAAAAAGAATATTTTATAATAATTGTACGTGGAGAGAAGGAAGCTTTTTTGGTACAGCATTTGGTATATGCAACCTTATATTTATCCCTCTTTGCAAATACATCTCTCTCTCTCTCTCTCTCTCTATGTATATATATATATAGAATGCATTCAGGTATCAGTGAAAATCCTCGTGTTAGTTATTTATTTCCCTTTCATTGCGGTCGACACGATGTAGGTTTACAGCACTGAGCGAGAGAACGTGTACCATCTTCTCTGCAGATCCAGAAACATAACGAATTAATTGCAATGGCAAAGCTGAGTCGGAATCCCGACTCAGTCCATGAAACAAACCACTTTGCAAACTACCTAAGCTGTCACATAGAAACAGGGGGGTTTGAATATTACCACCGATTTTTGTTTTGCATGCAATTGCTTGCATTTTTTTTTGGGGGGTGGGGTGGGGGGGTGTGGTGGTGGGGGTGAGAGAGAGAGAGAGAGAGAGGGGAAACGCTTGTGGTTTTCTTTTGAGGCTCCGAGAAATGTGACTTTAAATATTAATTGGGATATCTTGCAATGCTCTTGTGTTGTTCTGTATTAGTAGATGACACCTGAGAAAACACTGGACGTTTGAGATCAAAGCAGATTCAACTACAGCATTTTCCAAATACGTTCTCAGATCCTCTCAACGTCGCTTTATTCTATTTTATTTTATTTATTTTTTTTTTTGCTGCTGTCTGTCTGTCTGTATTTTGTGACAGCGAACTTCACACCAAGTAAGTTCTATCTGACCCCCCCCCAACCCCTAAAAAAAAAGCATCAGAATAATATTAATAACCTTTGCATTTGATGCAACGACTTGTCGGGTCTTCTGGACGTCTCAAAGCGCTTCACAAAATATACTGCAGTGGTATTTTTTAAATGAATTCTCTCGTAATAATAACCACAAGTAGATTGATCGCTTCTTTATATATATATGTGTATCTATTATATATAATATATAAGTAGAAATAAAACAGAACATCAATTTCTAAAAGGTGCAATGAGAGAAACCCAATTCTTCTCTCTTTTAGAGAAAAAAAACATCTCTTATGTTTCCTGAAAGATTTCTAATTGAATGGAGAGAGAGAGAGAGAGAAAACACAGAGAGAGAGAGAGAGACACTTGTCAATTAATTTACTTGAGTCCCTTTTATTATGAATAACGTTATTATCATTATTATTGTTATCATTATCATCATCGAGAGCTAAGAGCATCTTATGAATGAAATGTGTCGGTGTATCAATCGGTGCAAACTGGGTCTGGAAACTGTACAGAGGGGTTTTTTTTTGAACGTCTTTCTACCTCTCCTTTGATTCGGGCGATTACTAACGCCTCGACAAGACCTGGTTAACAAAAGGGATGGCTTTTTTTTTTTTAACTTAGCCATATTAAATCAGCACATTGCAAGGCAATAAAAAAAAAAGCCCGAGCAAAGACAAAGGCAGGGATTTGCATTGCATATGCAACTGTCCCTTTCAACTTATTATTAAGCCATCATTGATGTGTGAAAAATTGATGTTCTGTTAGAGGACTAATGGTGGGGGAGGGATCTGAGGTGGAGTTGGTGGCACTTTGATCTTTGATGGGCAAATTCCCATTCCCCCCCCCCACCACACACACACACACACACACACACCCCCAACCCACCACCACCTTTGTAAGACTATATTTTGGTACATCAGATTTGCACTCCACGTGTTGCAGGGAATCTAAAACACAAGGCTTAGAGTTTACTTCCTGATTTGTAAAGCAAGTCCCCCCCCCAAACCCCCCCCCCCCCCCCCCCCCCACACACACACACACACAAAAACCTTAGACATTTTGATAATATTTCTTTAAGAACCTGATGTGAATCTGAATGATATTTTCCTCCCTCCTTCTCACTCATGATCTCTCCAGCCCTCACAGGGCAGGTACATCCCACCCAGGACCTGGATGCATTTCAATAATATTCTCTTTCTATTCTTGTGGGTATTCCATCATCATCATCATCATCATCATCATCATCATTGAGTAAATATGTTTTAAAAACCAAAGAAAAAACGAGGAGTATCACCACGAAAATGAATGCCTTGTAAAAACGTGTCCCCATCATTTCTTTCCAGGGTCGTTACAACTTTGTTTTATGCCCAAATATGTATATATATATCTATCTATCTATATATACAGTATATATAATAATCTCCCCTCTATTATATAAATGCCAGAGCTCTCCCAAAGCCTCCTTCGTTGAATGATGATGAAACAAAAATAAGATGGGTGTCACAACACACAAGTTAATTAATTAGCACTGGATTTCATGTGCATTATTGATATCCATAGGTCACACTGTTCGTGTGATTTGAAGACAGCGATTTGGGGCACCTTTTAGAGCCAACATTGCTATGATTAAGAAGGATTGTTGCATTTAATTGCTGCCTTTTTTTAAAAAAAAATATATAGATTGAAAAAATATTTAAAGCCCAGTTTAGCAATATCCCCAGTGACAGTCAACCCAGAAGGGTCAGGACACCAACACTGGGAAAAGATTGGTGGGCAAAAATACAGAGGACATTGGCAGATTAAAGTGCAGCATCACACGCAGGTACCAAAGGAAAGGATTCAGCTCTTAATCAATACCGCCCCCAAAACAGCTGTGAGCTTTTTTTTATATATATTTATATATCTGGCACATGAGGACTTGCAACTTTGCAAGAACAATTGCAATATATATATATATATACATACATGTGTATGCTGTGTGTATATAATATATACAGGGTGACCAAAAACTCCTGATGCCATTTCAATGTCCAATAAATCTTAAATAAATGATGATGGTTTGGTTTTTTTTTAAGATAACATAGCAGCTGAGAAATAAGACTTTTTAGTCACCCTGTGTATGTATGTATATATTATATTACATATGTATTTAAAGCATAAACCACAGAAGATGGATCCCACAAAACCACAGCAGCTTTTTAGCAGTGAAACACCTTATTTGTCCACGAGCAGAATGAAGACACTGCAAACTAAATCTCTCTCCTCTCACAAGTCTGTCAGACTGCACCGTTCTTTTAACCTACCAACACAAGGAAGAAAGTTTCTTGAGCACACGAACATCAATCTTGGTATAGTTTTATACATAATATTATATATGCAGTCAATTCATTTTACAATACATTCTGAGACGTCTTGAAGACGTAATAAGGTGCTATATCAAATGCAAGGATCATCATTATTATTATTATTATTATCTGTTTTATGTAAATCCCACGTTATAGCCTGACTCGATTCTCACTGCAATAATAATAATAATAAACCCTGACATTTGATACAGCGCCTTATCACGTCTTCGAGACGTCTCAAGACGCTTCACAGGATATGCCGTAAAGGGAATTGACTGTATATTTTGTGGACGAAACGCCTTAATTGTTGTGCAACCTTTTCTTCTTATTGGGGTGGGTCACATTTGAAATGCGAGTTTACTCGCAAGAGATTTTTTTTGGGGGGGGGGGGGGAGAGGCGGGAATCATTCAACATATATGTTGCATACCTTGGCTTTAAAGTGTACAGTGTTTGGCTAAGGCTAAAGTTCTCATTATCCTTTTGCTTATAATATTAATAATGATTATAATAATCCTTGCATTTGATATGGAGCCCTCATCGCGTCTTCGAGACGTCTCAAAGCGCTTCACAGGATATACTGTAAAGTGAATTGACTGTGTATTTTGCGGACTAAACAAAAACATAATGTCTGCGCTATTGCATTGATTGATTGCACTGTGGGACAATCAGAGAGAATAAATAGTTGGTTTAAGTTTATTGGGGGGGGGGAGGGAGGAGATAAATATAAGAAAATCCAATCCACGCTAATTAATTGGTAGCATAACATCGCACACTTCATTAAACCTAATTGTGACATGTTTATAGAAGAGGTGGCATGTGAAAGCCCACTTCACAGTAAAGTATGCATAATTATACATCGTATCATTTATTATTGATCGTATTAAACGAGGGTGCGAGTCCAACAGCAGATTTTCTGCTCCGCGAAAATCGTTTGCAATACAATAACACCAGATTCTCAGAGGGGTTTGCAGGAGTCAGCACCACTTCCCTGTCAAGTGATGGAGGAGTGATGCAAGGCCAGTTCGGTGGGGGCTGTTTTATACGGAGGAATCCAATCCACCCCCATGCAATTTCGTTAAATAAACTCGATCTGCTTTGAATAAGTCCCTCCAACATTTGCTTTGAGGCGTGACTGCAAATGAACCACATTAATTGATCCAAGATGCATCCTCTCTCTCTCTCTCTCTCTGTGTGTCTGTCTCTCTCTCCCTCTCTCTCTCTCTCTCTCTCCCCACACATTGCCTTCCAATGATTTCTCACAGAAGGATTTCAAACACTCCCAACTATTTCACCACGTATTGGAGCAGACAGACAGAGAGACAGACAGCTCACATCCAGCTGAAAACCAGTAACAATTTTTTTTTTAAGTGAGGTTTTTCCAGTACTGCAACAGCCAGAAAACTACAGTCATGAAACTCCTCCATGAAGGGGGTGAGCAAACAGGGAGACTGTGAAATGTACATTAATACAGTCAAATCGTTGAATCAAGGAGGAACCACTAAACCATTGAGTTATGGAGGCGGACGCAACTTCATAAATTGGCCAATCTTTCAAATAATCTTTCTTTTAATAATTCTTTTAATCTTTCTTTTAAGCCTCGAGATTTGAGGCTTTTTTCATCCACGTTTTGAGGGTTAAATATGCGCCCTCCCCCCATAATTGTTGACTGTAAGACTGTGTCTCTATCGAGCGAATAAAACCACTTCTAGATGGAGAAAGGACTTGCTCTTTGCAACTGTGCTTAATGATTCTCTGGAGAGGATGGAGGTCTCTCTTGCCAAATTATTTTTTTTTACAGTATAAAAAAATCCTGAGAGGGATAGCAATCAAATATTGCAACTGATCTTCATTGTGTAAACCCCCTCACTGTCACCAGTGAACCCTAATAATAATAATAATAATAATCCTTGCATTTGATATAGCACCTTATCATGTCTTGGAGACATCCCAAAGCGCTTCACAGTTTACACTGTAAAGTGGAGTGACTGTGTATTTTGTGGGCGAAACGCGGGAGTCAATTGCACACAGCGGTGTTCGAAAAAACAATTTTATTTTATTTGGGGGGAGAGAAAACTTAGCATTTATAGACTTAGGATTGCATTTTCTTGTTGCACAGATTGGATAACCCTGGCACTGGTCCTTTGTAGCTGTACAAAGTTATTTATTCTCTTTTTATTGGGAAAATAACAAATTATGATACAAGGAATTGGCCGGTGGGGCGGTGGGTGGCGGGGGGGGGGAGAGGGAACAGAGATGATCTGTCAAATGTGTAGCTTTAGCCATTAATTTGGGGTTTCCCTTTGGTTGCCTTAGAAACAATTGAACTCTTGGGGATGGGTGTTTAATGGAGTGATGGTGTGCGTGTAGAGTGTGTGTGGTGTGTACGTGTAGAGTGTGTGTGGTGTGTGTGTGTGTAGAGTGTGTGTGGTGTGTGTGTGCTTACGATCTTTGCCCAGTAGCAAAACTTGTCCAACTGAAGAGATGCACATTAGAACGCAAAGCACCAGGAAAGGCCATTTGCTCTACAAGTTGTTGTTGTTGTTGTTGTTGTCATCCCCACTCCTTCCAAGCTGTGGGAAACCTGATCCCAGTCACTGGGGGAAGATAAGAGTAATAGATACTTCAGGAATCCCCAAATCAAACACAAACTCCAGGATAAACATCCAGAATATCATTTCACCATACAACCTTGACCTCCTTCTTTCTTTTCTTCCACACACCTTTCGCCCACAAGCACAGAAGTCACAATGTGCTGTGGAATATCTGCCCCTTTTAGCCTGAATCCACCACTTTATCCTCCAAGGATTGTTCTCAAGCAGATACTCATCCAGTTCTTTTCCCAAAAGAGTTAACTGGAGAAGATTTGGTTTGGTGTCTGTTCCACAGATGGACTGCAAGTACTCTGAAACAAAAAGTCTTAATGTCTAATCTGACTGCAACTACGCAGAGGTTATTGAGACAAACAGCCACAACACATATAAATAATAATAATCCTTGCATTTGATGCAATGCCTTATCACGCCTTTGAGACGTCTTAAAGCACCCCACAGAATACACTGTAAAGGGAATTAACTGTATAGTTTGTGGGCGAAACGCGGCAGCCAATTGCGCACAGCAGCGTCCCTCAATCGTGGATTGAGTGACCAAATTAACTTATTTTGAAGGGATTATTACGCCCAGAAAAGCAATCCGCCAATCGACTAGCAACTGGGTTCCTACTTACTGCTGGTAAACAGAGGCATATGTGTGGAGTAGGGAAACTTCCCCAACATTTCGCCCCGCCCGGGAATCAAACTCAGGTCCTTTCGTTTGCGAGGCGAGGGCTCTAATGAGAGTCACCTCAATGAGAGTTTTGAAGAATCGTAATACTGCAAAGGTCAGTCAGCAGCTAGTCTGCTGGATAAGTCCAGGAAAACTTGCAATGACAACAAAAAAATACCTGTGGTTTTGTGTTGGTTAAAAAATCCCTGCAATACTGGAGAGCAGTGAACGCGAGAGGACCTGGACTAGGAGAATAATAAAATCAGACTGCAGCTCCTCTCCAGGTCGAGGGAATTACCACAAGCTTTCTCAAAACTGACTTCAAATCAGAGCACGTAAATTCGTTTCAAAGCTTTTCCCCAATAGCTGAGTGAGCAAATGAGAGACGTGACACCAGACATCGGAAGGGTGTTTAACGGGTCGTAAGAGAACTCCATGATTTGCTGGTGTCTTTCTTTGGCAATATTGGTAGATGTTAGACAGGTGTGAAAAAGTGTCACTCTGCCAGGCACACACCATCTCGCTCGCAACACAAAAGGTTCTCGCTTACGTACACAGAAAGTGTCTCACTTACATAGGTTCTTCTGTTACCCAGTGAGTGTCACGTAGACACTGAGAGCTATACACACTGTCTCTCGTGCTACTCACACCCACCCAAAAATTGGTCATTCGCTTCATGGCTGTTTGTGGGACATTGCTGTGTGCAAATTGATTTCCGCATCTGCCTACAAAATAATTGCACTTTACAGTGAATCCTGTGAAGTGCTTTGAGACATCCTCCTGACGTGATAAGGCGCTATATCAACTGCAAGGATTATTATTACTATAATTATATAATGACACATAATACACCCACAATGTCTCTCGTACACAGAAAGCGCACAAATATGCAATCTCCTAAACGCTGTCTGTCACCATACACAATTTATTTCCCAGCAAGTTACATTACAGATACCTTTTTTTTGATACTTTAACTGGTTATCAAACAGAGGCACACATCCAATCGCGCACACACAATTAATTAATCCCCTGTCCCTCCGCAGCCTCACTGGAACAATATGTAAGCTATTTTAACAAACATAATTAGAAATTGTCTCATTTCAAAACTTCAGATTATCTCAGTATCCAATGTGTGGTCCCAAGGAGATATCATTCAATGTTTAAAAGAACATTATTTTTAGGCATGACTAAATATAGATAAAGAATAGCTGGGCAGTTTCTTTCCTGAAAATTCCTGCTAGGTGTAAAACACACAAAAGAACAAGTTTTACAGGTCTGACTTATTTTGTCAGTAAAGTGTCGAGTTCTCTCATGTTTCTTGTTTATGTGACAAGCTGACTGTTTTTACAAGTGTATTTAGGTTAGCAAAGATTGAGACAGCGTAATGGCTCTATTCTACAGGGACTTGCTATTGCAGAAAGTTCCTCGATGCTCCAAGATACTTATGTAATACACTGTAATGCAGCTGTATATGTAATAATAATATTTATTATTATATACATAGCACATATATATATATATATATGTGGAGGTATTGAGCCGCATTGACTGACACATGGTAACACAGTTTTGGACACTGATAACCCCTTTTCTTTTCACAAGTGACTCTCGCTCCAGTAGTTTTGTGGGACGTCTTTTGGACGTGAAGAGGGCTATACAAGTGTAATTTGTTGTTGTTGTTTGCAGTCCAGTGGTACCTTGTTGAAATACTTCACTGAGCTTTCAAAAGGGCACTAGATTGATATCTCAAAAGGAGTATAAACTACTGGACTATGGAGAAACGGCAGATAAATGGGACTTAAAGCGGAGAGTTTTCTTTTCGGAAATAATGTTATGGGATACAGTTCATAGGAAGTTCAGGACATATGTATATGTGACCGTCAGGATGGTGGAAGGCGAACTAGATGGACCTTGGTCTTTTTAATCATCTTGCATTTCTTATGTTGTTATGTGTGAACCTGGATGGTTCATATCTGTGTTACATACAACAACATTGACAGTGTCAGACTCCAGTGGGATCTCCTCATTGTAATCACACATTGTCAAATCGCTATATACAATGTTGAATTTTGATCTGGTGTTATTCAGCTGCAAACACCTTCGATTGGGTTTCCACCAAACGTGATCAGGTGTCCACCCTGGCTCCGAGTCAGATGGTTGTGGTTCAAAATAAGTTCCACGATGAGCTCATATTTCAGGTTGACATTCAAACGCAGTGCTGGAGGAATGCTGAAGTGTCTGAGGTGCCGTCCTTCGGATGAGTCGTTTAAACCTCAGGTCCACTCTGCCTGTTTAGCTGGACCTCAGTGATCCCAAGGAAAGACTCAAAGTTAAAGGGAGCTTCTCCTGGTGCTCATCCAGGCCAACAATCCTCCAGATAAGAAAGTAATTTGTTCAGTCCGTGTCCCTTTGTGGGACGTTGCTGTGTGCACATTGGCTGCGGTGCTCAGCTACAAATACACAGTCCTTTACCCTTTACAGAGAAACTCTATGAAGTGCTTTGAGACATTTGGATGTGGGAAGTAACGTAAGGATTATGGCACAATGCCTTACTGACACCTTGCACCACTGCACTCAACATGGTGAACGTGGTGACAAGGAGTGAGGAGTTCCCTGATTTACATTTTACAGTGTCTCCGGTTACATATATCAGAGTTGCCACAGCAACTAGAACAAAGTCGCATTATGCTCGAGATTAGTTTCCGAATCATTATAAGCGCAATCTTAGCATGTTGGAATGAAGGATTGCTCCTGTTAAGGTGAGGTAACCTACATTTCATGTTTTAATGGTTAACATGACTAGCAAAGTGTGAGACTAATAATTGATCTTTAATGACAGTCTTAATACTTGCGTTATGATTACATCGTAATGTAATCAGAAGGCCGCGGTTCGCCTACAAAATACACAGTTACTACACTTTACAGTGTGTTCTATGAAGCGCTTTGAGGCGTCTCGAAGATGTGATAAGGCGTTACATCAAATGCAAGGATTATTATTATTACATTATGTGCCTTATGTGGTGCAGGAAATCTGCAAAAAGCAAAATGACGTTCTCAGTGGAAACCGGAGTCTCCGTTCAGCATAGGATTGAATAAAGCACTCGAAACGTCCAACCCAATACATCCAACCCAATACCCGGAGTCCTGTAGCTCAGTGGTTAGAGCACTCGCTTTGCAAGTGAGAGACCTGAGTTCAATTCCAGGCAGAGGGCGAAACCTTGGGCAAGTTTCCGTACTCCACACAGAGCCTAATAATAATCCTCCAAAACCAAAAAACAATAATAAATTGGTCATTTTCAATCTACGACTGTTTGTGGGACATTGCTGTGCGCAATTGGCTGCCGCGTTCGCCCACAAATATACAGTCAATTCACTTTGCAGTGTGTTCTGTGAAGCGCTTTGGGACGTCCTCCCGACGTGAAAAGCGCTATATCAAATGCAAGGATTATTATTATTATTATTATTATTATTACAATCCATGCCAGTAATATTTTGTCTCTAGTTTACCCCATGTCTGCGGATGACATCGCCAAGAGATACCATATAGATATGGAAGAGGAGGGGGCCAAGGATCGAGCCTTGGGGTACATGTGGGGTAAAAATATACAGATTTGCTGTGGGTATTTCAGCACCAATTTAGTTATCAACTGGGACAACAAGAGAATCAGGGAAGACTACGTAAATTCTTCTGTGTTCATGGGCAAGAGTAGGGATGGTTTACACCTTCGACTATGTCAGGTTCTGAATGTGCAAACCACTGTGCAGTACTGCGCACGTCACCTCCTGTGGTTTGATCATGTAGTATGATGGCTTGCTTCGTGCAGACTTGCTTTTCAAAACACATTAGTAGCCCTTAACGAAACGAAGCACAACAATGCAGCCTTGTCCATTGCACAGAGCTCCTGTAATCGGACACAAATTCACTAACATTACCAACTGCTAATATTACTTAGCGAAACCAGATCAACGTTGTACAGAACCGTTTTGTTCCTCAAATCACCGGCATTTTTTTTAAAACTGAAAAGTTGCTTTCGAACCAGTGTGATCCAACGCCTCGGGGTGGGGGGGGGGGGATGGGGGCGGGGGTGGTGGGGGGAGGGGGGAGGCGGTGGGAGCAGTGGGGGAGTGATTGAATCTCAGTAAAGAGCTGCATCAATTTCGGTGGACTTGGGGCAGAGTTGTTTGACTGCGTTCAGGTACAGCTCGAGCTGCACAGTGCAAGCATTTGCACTCGTATTTACCTTAAAAGTACTGTAACTCCACCAACAGGAAACCAGTCAGCATTTCAACAAGCAAAATGACCCACTGCCCACTCACTCAATGCTCTTATGAGTAAGTTAAAAAACTAGCAAAGTCGAATTATATACTCTCTAGAGTACAAGCTGTGTATTAACATTAGAAAAACACAAGCTTTGGAAGGGCTGCTTTGTACGGCAGGTTGTAGAGTTTAAGCGCCCCGGGACTCTACCCCAAGTGAAGGGCGCTATATAAATGCAAGTTGTTGTTACTGATGCTGTTTAAGTGTCTGAGGGCCTGTGTGACTGAAACAAAAACAGAGCGAGCTGGGAAAACTCAGCAGGTCAGGCAGCATCTATGGAGGAAGGAAAGAGAGTCAAC